AGCCCCATGCAGTCACTTCTTCACTCACTGGTGGGATGGTGAGGAGAATAAGAAGAATAAAAGTGATAAAATTAATGGGTTGAGATAAAGACAGTTTAACAGGTAAAGCAAAAGGACCATGTACAAGCAAAGAAAACAAGGAATTAATTCACCCGTTCCCATGGGCAGACAGGTGCTCAGCCATGCCCATGAAAGCAGGGATCCATCACATGTAACAGTGACTGGGAAGACAAATACCATCACTCCAAACTTATYCTTCATCACTCTTCCTCATTCTTTCCCCAGTTTACACCCTGACATGATGCCATATAGTATGGGATGGGGTCAGTTGGATTAGCTGATCTGGCTGGGTCCCCTCCCAGMTTCTTGTGAACCCCCAGCCTCCTCGCTGGTGGGGTGGGGTAGGACCAGGAAAGGTCTTGGCTCTGTGMAAGCACTGCTCRGCTACAGCAAAAACTTCCCTGAATTATCAACACTGTTTTCAGCACAAATCCAAACCAYCTATGGTGTAGCAAATYAACTCCACCCCAGTCAAAACCAGTGCAGCATTAGMTTTATATTCTGTTTAATAATGAGGCAAATCATAAACTAAAGGGGAGTTTCTGGAAGAGTAGCAGCAAAAATCTTGTTTAAAAGAAATTTCCTAAACTTATGACATCTAAAGAGTTTAAATCTCCCCTTGGTCTACAGAGATTTTAAATTTTTTTTGTCTTACAGGTAATAAGCAAAACTAAACCAAAAAATCATTATTACTTATTTCCCAGCATGCAAACTGTGATTTATAGAAGAGTAAGGAGAGTACTGAAAATCCTAAACTCTAAATGACAGAGGGAGTTTTTAAGTTTTCATGAACGAGAAGCAGGAGGAATAATGTTACATCAGTATTTATGAAAAATAAAATAATTTTAAAACAATTAATGAAGACACCATTATAACTACAACTCGTGCAATACTGTGTAATATTTAATAACTACTTATCAGAACTAAAGAGGTGTCAGAAAAGTGAAAAAAAAAGAACTGGAATATGTCTTGAGTATACTTTGACAAGTGGCATAAAGAAAACAAAAGAAATAAAAATGAAAAGATGAAAGCTAACCTAGTTTGAAAACAGTTATGGAAGCTTGCTTTTTTTTTTTTTTAAGAGTTGTTTAAACTGCTTATTTATAATTGAGTCTTTCAAAAACACATGATTTGTTAGAGCAATATGTACTTCAGCTTTGTCTCTCTTTCTGTCTTCAGACTGACTGCTATTTGAAGTTTTATATGGCTGGACTAATGCTATTGCACAAATTGCCACCTTTTGAAGGCTGTGATTTGAACCTGCCTGAACAATTGCCACTTTAGTACCACAATAAAAAACACCTTTCATATAACAACTCTCTTCCTTTCAGGAGGAATAATGAAATGAAGCAAAATAAAAAGGCACAACCATCCTTTTTCCCAGAGGAGTAATGCTTTGGGGACATCTCCTCCCCTCTCACCTTCCAGTTTCGGAGCTGCAGCATGGAGATGGGCATTGCAGCACACAGCTGCTGTGGCACTGCTCCCCCAGAGCACACCCTGTCCTTCCCCTGAGCTCTGCAGATAGTCACCAAAACCAACCTCACTGATGTGTGGTGTTTTCCAACACCCCCAAGTACTCCCCAATTCACTGGGGCTCTTCTGCTCCCCCTGTCCTGCCCAGCTTCCCAGGGTCCCATGGAGCTTTCTCCTCTTTTCTCCTCTTTTCTCTCCCTGTCTCCTTGCTGGAGGCACAGGACACTTCTTTCAATGAAACAATCTTTGTTTGAGAACATGTGAAGGGATTGGATGTTTTAGGTGATTCCCTGGTGTGCAGGGTGGCATCCTACACTGGGGTGATTATGTGCATATCCAAGACTCACTTTATCCATATATTAGGCTGAAAGTGGCTGTCTTCAGTACTCTCCAGATCATGTCTGCCTTGCTGCAAGGTTTTGAGTTTATGTAATTACTGAGTCAGACACCCAACTTTAACGTTGCAAAAGATCCTTCATCTGAGTTCTTCTTGCTCATAAAGAGGTCACTCTTAAAAAATATTCATAAAATTTCAGTCCCCCAAATCTCACGGAGTAGATGTTTAATCAAGCATTTTTGACTAGTAGCCAGCTATCTTCAGCATGGATGTTCACTCTCCCTGTCTTGAGTCTGGTKTAATGGAGATGTTTAAGTTATTCCTTGTCAGAACCATTTTTATTTCAATTACCGACTTCCCTTCGGTTTTCCATTCAACTACTTCCTAGTAAAATTAGGCTAATTCTTAGTAAAACTAAGCAAAACGAGCGAGGACTGTTTTGTGCACATGACAGTTCTTATTTAGCTAATATAAAGTTCTCATCATGCAGACAATACCCAGAGGAAGGGAAAGTCTTGAATGGGATGCAGAATTTGATCCTCATCCACAGAATTATCCTTGCTACTGTTGACCACAGGGAGAGCAGAGTAGGGAAACTTGGAGCTGTACTTTTATGCAGAGTTTGTCTTGTGAATAAACAGAATTTCAGTCTTTAGGACCTTAAATGTTATAGCATAAGTATGCAACTTMTTTTAAAAATATTGTTAGAAGCTGCCTTCAGATGAAAGATTTTCATTATTCTGTCTCCTTCTAGTTCAGACTTCACATTGAAGAAAACACCAAACATTTCTTAACTATCTGTTGTTTAACCTTTCGGACTATAACATATTGCAATTWGCTTCTATGACATTAACGAAGTGGTCAGGAGCCAGTTCTGCAAGGGTCCTAATGTCAGATACAATGCATCCCTACAAATCTGGATAAACAGAGACTGAAGTCCAATCAGAAATCTTTCAGAAAAATAAATTAGGATATTTACTTCTTTCTTTGCCTGGTTGGCAAAGGCTAGGTTGAGCCGCAGTTTGTTGTTAAGAAAAGGCTCTGAGGATTTTCCCTTCTTGTTACAGAGCAGTTTCTTGAACCATCAGCCCCAGCTGATGATCTGTATGCTCCCTGTGTAACCAGGGGAGGGAGAGGCAGAGCTCCTACAAAGAGAGTCCTGCAGGCTGAAGATCTCAGATTTTGTACCAAAGTTTCACCAGGGAACACATGAAAATTTCAGACCCATAAACTGGCTTCTCTCTGCTCTTTATCACAGATAGAGCATTGCCTTCCCAAGGCCCTTATTTTCTTCTGCCTTGCACTAGCCACAAGCAACTGCTGCTCGACAGCAATGCTCCCAGGCTTTGGAACTCAAAGGTAAGTCTGTCATTTAAGTTGTTCTTCTACAATCAGCAGTGGGGTGTACTGGTTGCTCACCCCATGTCCGGGTTTAAGCTATATAAGACATAAGATTACTGGGTTTAGACATGGCAAAGTTTCAATTCTTTATTCGAAAGAGATGAGATAATAATTTGAAGTATTCAATTATTAGACAGATGGAGAAAAGTCTATCTTAACTCCTTAGGAATCTCTGTCTAGAATCCCCCCTAGCAATACAGAATTTGATTTTGTTAGTGCAACCTATAGAAAAATTTGACTCCTTCATATCCTTCAAAACTTTGAAATTTGGAAATCTCAGAGAATTAAAGCATTATTTAGCTGGTGAACATCTGACTAGAAGGCATGAGGCAGTACCAACAGAAATATGCCTGAAAACTAGACAGGAGTCAATAGTTTTTAATAGCAACAACCAGCAATCAAATGAGTTTAGCACCTGCATCCTCCTGTGGAGGAATTTAAGTGTCTGAGTTTTTACAAACAACACGCGCTCATGAAAGTACTTAACAATGAAACATTAGTATCCAGCAGATTTTCATTGCTCTCCTGAGTACTGATATTGCAGTGCTACCATTTCAATGGGAAAAGAAACCAAAACACACAAAAAAAMCCCAAAAAAMCCCCACAAACCCTCACCATTATACCTAGCCTAAAGATTTCAGATAGASTGCCAAATACTTTGGGAAATCCAGCCCTAGTCACGAGTAGGGCACAGCGGATGTTAAAGTGCTACTGCGGCAGAGGGTTAGTGCAGCTGGGACTGTTCTGGAACATCTGTAAAGCAATATTCAGAAAASAAGATTATACTGGTATGTCATCTAATGCAGCTTAAAAATAAATAGCTACATAAATAAATAACCTTTTGCGCTCCAAGTCCTTGCTTAGATCCTGAACAAAAGTACCTTTAGCTTTTCTTGTGCGTTTCTATCCCAACACTTCCAGCAGTCATTTCATACCCAGACAATTTTGTCCATTTTTTCTTTTGTTCTGTATGAAAGAAGTGCAAAGGAGGAAAATGCAACTATAYTTAAGTAAAGAGGTGCCCGTCGGCCATACAAATACATAAGTACTTCAATTAGTAAACCACGCACCACTTCGCTGCTAGAGCCGCTAGCAGGAGAGCGCTAACGCAGAGTAGTGCGTGATGCTGCGGCGCGGGCAGCCACAGACGGGCACAGCCCGCCCGTCCCGACCAAACGCTGCTCAGCCGGCCCTGCCCGCGCCCGGGGCGGCTCCGCCACGGGGTCCGCAGGTGTGCGCGGCGATGCCCGCCCAGTCCCGGCCCCAGCAGCGAGGGCGCATCCCGCCCCACGGGGAGAGCGCCCGTCTCCGCCGCACCGAGCCGCAGCGCGCGTCCCAAAACGACGCCCCTCGCCCCGCTAAAAGTTTCAGCCGCCGGCGTGCGG